CACCTGTCAGCAAACTGTTAATATCAGTGGCCCACATTGTTTGCTGTTTGCACTAATTTTTAATGCTGTTGTTTTATTATGTTGGCATTTTAAACCTTGCCCAGGGACTACAGTTGAAAATTAGCTACTTAGCTAACACTGGCTCATTTACAGAAATGTTTATTAATGTGCACTGTCCCTGTTCAAATAAACACGTAAATAAATAAATAAATAAATAAATACAAATTTGTGATGAAAAAAACCAAAAAACACTGTGGTGAAAAAAAGTGATGTAAACATGACTGTATAGTTAGTTTCAAAATTCTTTTTTTTTTTTTTTATATGATTACATTATCAAGCATTTATAGGCACCAGACTCAAAATGAAACCTTAAAACCATAATATTAAAATTGAAGAATTTTAAAAGATTTTAAGGTCTTTAAGGACCGAAAAATCTGGACAGATTAAAGGCTCCAGAGGAGAAAGTACAGCAGGTGAACGGGGACCTACGTGTGATGCCAGAGCTTGAAGAGGTGGGCTCGTATGAAGGACAGCGAGCATGGAGGGTGCTGCTTTACCACCTCCAGGTATTCCTCTGCCATCTCCCACACAGGGGGGCTGCGGCCCTCGAACAGCGCCGGGTTATGGAGGTTCCCCTCTACGAATGACAGATTTGAAAAGAAGCAACTCGCAGCTCTCTGTGTGGATGTGATGGATGGACGTTGCAGCAGAGAACCAACCTGCACTCATCACCCCCTGAACTCCGGTCTCCTGAATGCAGCGCTCCACATCACTCAGATGCTGGATGTTACCGTTGGCAAAGACTGGAATACTCACTGCTTTCCTGGAGAAATAAACACATGAGGAACATTATTCCTTATTTCAGTTTAATATAAACAGCAGAGAAACGTGGGGCTAAGAAGGAGCGACTCTAACCTGACAGCTTTAATGTGCTCCCAGCTAGCGATCCCCGTCATGGCTCCTTTCTGATCCTTGGTTCGGCCGTGAACGGTCAGCAACTGGGAACATTCATCACATCATGAAGCACTTTAAATAAATCTGAGAGATAATCAAAACTCTGAGTGGGCGCTGTGATCCCACCTGACATCCGGCTTCCTCGAGCATCTGAGCGTAGCGGACCGTTTTCTCAATCTCCTCAAAGACTCTGATCTTACAGGTGACCGGCACAGAGAGCTTCTCATGGGCTAAACTCACTGACAATTCAGGGAGAAACGGTGGATCCTTTTAATGTTTGCTATTCAGATGAACGGTTTGGTTTAATCAATGAAAGCCAGCTGTGTGTGGAAGTTTAAAACTTAGTAAAATGAACAGGAGGAAAGTTAAAGGAAAAGTCAGCTCATATTCAGAATTCAAACTTCTGGAAGTTCATTAAATAGGAAATTATAAACTGTTCAATAAAGTGTTTTTAATTCAGAGTAATTTTCATGTGAATGTGCTTTAC